TACCTTCCTTTCCGGCGCCCTGCCGGAAGCCTACCTTCCTTTCCGGCGCCCTGCCGGAAGCCCACCGACCAGTGTCATGTCAAAAGCTCCCTTCTTTTCCTCACCGCCGCCCACCACCCTCGCCCACCTTCATCCACCCTCACCCCCTACCCACACCCACCCTAATGACCCAGTCCCACCATGCGGGTTGCTGCGCAAGAATCATTCTTTCGAGACCAGCCCGCAGAGAAAACATACACTTGGCACAGAGCAAGCTCAGAAGGTGTCAGGAACCGATGTGCTGGGCCAATGCGAGCGTTGTGAACCACTGAAAAGAGTTGTAGGCAACATTGGTTCCATGGAGCTTCTGGTGCTGCTTCAATCAAATAAATATATATATATGTATATATATTTCCCCCATATACATATACTCTAATATATATATATATTTATATTTATGCTAGGTTGTATGATTGTGCGTATTTGGGCTTAAGAAATATAATATACAGACACACGCACACGCAGACTTTCAAGTCGTTCGTCGTCCAGTCCAGCAACGAAAAGAGCATGGTGTAACGATTCATCGTATCGTTTTACGTTTTGCGATGCAACCTAGTTCTCAAAAAGGTGAGCGTTGGTATATTTGTTCAAGTCGTTCAAGGTTTTCTCACCGTCTCACCACTACCAACAAGAACACCGCATTGACATTAACTTGTCGACACCGACACCTGTTCGTTTGTCAACCTGGTCTTTCCTGCGTGTTAGTTCTGAGTTCCGAGTCCACCATGGCAACAAACGCTAATCTTGAGTAGGGGGGCGTTCTCTCACTCTTTCACTATAGTGCAATGCGTACTGTGACTGACAATTACACAATTTTGCGCGTTAACGCTTAACGTCTCACCCCTTGTAGCTTGCGGGGCTGGTAAGCACAAACAAAACATTGGATTCCTTTGGATTGGCTTTCTTAGAAGAACACACACTCCGCACTTAACAAGCATCACCAAAGCAGCTCTCGCACGCACTCAAATGCCGCGGGCACAGGGGCGGAGCCAAAATCCCAAGGTCTCGTTCAGGCTGTAGGACATGGCGGCCAGAGCCTGAGTGCGACTCGCTACTCGCACGATCTTCTGACACCCAGCAAGCGTAAGCACGTGGCAATCATGATAGGCAACCATTGCGGACGACCCAGGCTCAAGGGTATCCGGAGTAGACTCGTGGAGATGCTGCCCTTGAGGTGTTGCAACACTTCCTTCACCAAGCATTCCAGAACCGCGCGCCATTCTGAGTGATTGCACTCAGACGCCATGTCATGGCAGGCTGCTGTGGGATGTGAGCTGACGCAGAAAGTATTGGAGTCGAAACTTTGGGGCCTGAACATGTCTTCCAAATCCAACCAAGGTCTATGTCTAAGTTCGTGGCTTTGAAGTTGGTCCAGTGGTTGGTGCTGGCGCTGCATTGAACCTGTTCAACTCTGACTCCCTGTCCTGTTTGCGGTGTTGTCAGCTGCAAAAAGGTGGCAACGCATCATGGGTCATATGTGATTCACGCCAATTCATACCTGAATTGTTCGTTAGTGCGCGGGGCCAAAGTAACTTCTTTCCAGCCTACACATGCACGAACGGATAAAACTCAAGCGTCAAGGAATATCCAAACCGCACACTTGGATATTTCAAGGGTTGCTGTCGAGTCCTTTCTCCTGAAAAAACAAATGAAACTTAAGGTCCAAGTAGGCGCCCCCAGCACGTTTAAAGCAAAAATCGGTGTGCGTGGGCTCTTCGACACACTACGTGCAGCTCTTTCGGCTTTCTCAGTGGCCTATATATGCTTTTTTGAATTGAGAGGCGGCCATTGGGACTGTTGCCTCATCTTCAAAACGACCCATCGATGGGGTGTGGAAAATCACACCCTTGGCGGAACATCGTTGCCAAAACTGATGCGTGCTTGAAATCGCGCCCCCCAAAAAAACAAATGAAAAGGGCATGTTTCCAAAAACCTTCTCAACTTCAAAAGCTGTTTTGGAGCAGCGCACCACACTCATAGGGCATGTGTTCAGAAGTCTTCTCAAATTCAAAAGCTGGTTTGGCGCAATGCACCACACTCATATTTCCAGTTATTTTGCGCGTTCTCGTTTTCAAAAGCGATGCGTTTAAATTGGAATGAAAGTGAATATCTGCAGCTACAGGCAATCGCGCGAAACAAAAACATCAAAATCCTATTTTTTCTTTGGCAAAATCTCTCCCAATGAGTTGCCTGAAAGGACGAAATGTTTGTTTGCAGTGGCTATCCATGTCTACTCCAGCCCGAAGATACCTTTCCGGCAGGAAAACGCGTGAAACGCCGGAGAAGTGGAGGGGACCAAAAGAAACGACGTATGTTCACGTACTCATCCATCAAAGATTGAACTTCCAAGACAGGAGTCAGCAAGTCCACTGTTGAAGGTGTCAAGACTTTGAGGTTGACCTTGTCTAAGGATTTGCACGTCAGCATCTTGGCTGCCTTGGACACCGTGCCACCGGCATTGATACTTGTCATTGATGACTCCATCCATGAATAGACATTCTGAGTGACATAGATTGAGCAGGCCTTGCAGATGACGTCTGCAATCTCTTGTTTTGACTTGTCACACAAGGACAAAAGTCTATCGTTGGTAGCCTTTGGAATCGCATCTGTGAGCGCATCAGAAGAGTCAACCGCAAGGGTTGTGAACGCACCCCAATCATCGCTGATGGTGGTCTCAATCAGAGTCTTGAGTTTCTTGCAGCAGGAAATCAAATCATCCATGGACTCTTCCTCCTTTGCGCGTTTCTCTGATGATTCTTGTGCAAGTTTCAGCAATGCCTTTCCTTGTGCAATTCCAAGAATCACCGCAGCGAGGCCTCCATCTGAAAGTTTGGTATCAGTCCCTTTGCTTCCCTTTTGCAAATCGTTCACACCTCGAATGACATCCTCTGCACTAGACTGTTCATAGTGCACAACAGCTGAGAAACTTTTCAAAGTGTTGGTCAAGCCCTCATCAGTATTCACAAAGTCCTGCACAGAGAGATGTCAATCAGGCTCGACAATGGAGAGAGAAGCTCATCTGTCCATTTGTCCTTAGTGAACCGTGTTGACATCAATGTACAATTTGAATCTGTCTAAGTGTGGTGTGTTTTCATACATGTGTGTGTGTCCCTTGACCACTAACTGATGTGCGTCCAAATGTCTTTGGACACGTTCAGCCCTCGCAACAACCTCTGAAACACTTCATTGATCATGAGCAGAAA